CACAGAACCTGGCCCGGCGCCAGGCGTGAAGTTACACACACCCCCCTCCCACACTCCTGTCCTCCCGGGCCCTGGCTTGCTCGTCACCCCTTGTGGCTGGACACAGAGCAAGACGAACACTGATCGTCTACAGGAGAGGGTGAAATGGCCAGCAGTCACAGGACGGGAGACCTGGTACTGCAAAGCCAGCTGTGAGAAACTGCCGTTTCACCTCGGTAACAGAGACACTCGCCAGTAAATTACGGCCTGAGACAGCTCAGAGGGCCGCGGGTCAGGACGCAGAGCTCTCAAGATGACACAATGCCAGCTACAGTGTGCATTCTGCACTAGCAGCTCGGCACAAAGGGCTGGGGAGGAGGGGCCCTGGCTTGGGGAATATTCTGGCATCAGGACCAATGACACCAGGCACAGAAGGTGAGAGCCAAGCGAGTGACAGGGAGAGCAAGGGAAGGCCATATCGGGGACCAACTCAGCCAGGGGGCACTGGGAAGAGAAAGGCTTTGTAAAGCAAGTCACTGTGCAAACTATCTGATGGGGGGGGGGCGGGGGAGAGCCAGGGAAGAGACCAATTTCATTATGAAGGGGCTGGGGACAATAACCTTTTGTCCTCGAAACAATTTGGGCCTGCCAAGCTGCCCTACAGTCTCTGAGAAAGCATGGGGCTGGGAGAGAAAGGGTCCCCTCAGAGGGACAGACTCATCCTTAATCATGAGACGAGGCTTCCCAGAGCTGACCTCCCCTGCCACACTTCCCGCTACAGGCACACCACAGAATGAGGGCAGCCCATTTTCCTAAGCTCAGGAGATTTGGTTCTTTGGGGATATTCCCTGCCATCGCCATCCCCAAATCACACAGACAAGTGTGAAACATCCCAGTTTAATTTGACCCACAGTCTACTGGGTCAGATTGGGAACTAGAAAAGTTACTGCCTCCGCAGCTCCTAAAATGTTTCCATTCCATCCTCTTGTCTCCTAAAAGGCTGTCAAGGACACACGAATCCTGGTGGACAGAGGTCCCCTGGATTTTTTATGTCACAGCTTGACACTGCATAATTATGTCTAATCTTACCCTGGAGAAAAGTTGACTGGAGTACTGTATCCGAAAGAGCCCCTGACGAAAAGTCAGAAAAACTTGGATGATAGTCCTTATTCTGAAATTTTTACATCGGTGGAAGCTGAGCAAACCGCCTAATACCTCTGGGCCTCAATTTGCTCAGCTGCAAAGTGGGAATGAGGGAAGTCACTGCCATCTGGCAGATAAGCACAGCCGTGAGCAGCATACAGTCTGAAGTGATGCTGCCTGCGCTCAGATCCCACCTTCTCCTCTTACTAGTTATGCAACCTTGAGCAACTTAGCCTCCGTGCCTCAGTTTCCCCATCTGTAAAATGAACACAGTTCATAGGAATGCTTTAAGAGTTAAATATGAGGACTTGGGTAAAGCTCTCATTGCAGTGCCTGTCTCTCAGCTCTCCCAATAACTGTCAGCTAGCCCCACGACCATCACGATTAGTTGGGGACAAGGAAGAAAATAAAATTTCCACAACAAGGTACTTACTAAGAAGATTAAACAGCTTTTGTTAGAAGGATTCAGAGAAATGAGTTCATAGCCCAAGGCTACTTCTGAAGCCAAGAAACATAAAGGAGGGAAGAGGTATGGACTTGTTTCCATCCTTGAGCATGACACATTCCAAATGTTCACCAGTCCACTAGTTATATAACCTTGGGTAACTTAGTCAACCGATTCTTACAGCTTGGTAGTAATTTAAGGCTTTCATGGGAAAAGAAATAGGCTACAGATCCTCACACCTCCCTTTCTACAGAATTAATTTTCTAGCCCTTCTCTTTCTACACACAACTACAAAAGACAGCAAATTGTGTTCTCATCTTTGTAAAGGCTGTTACATCTGAGGCTTTCTGTTAGAGGGTAAAACATTTTTAAAAGGAATTTATTAAATTTGGGGGAGGAGGCTTACATAGATAGTGGTCTAAATTGGTTTTAAACCTTCCAAGTTCTTCTAACAAAGACGTATAGGGCTTTCCTTCTCCTTAAGTCCCACTTTCAAATCAAAAGCAAGAACTTTTTCCTACCTAGGAAATGCACAAAAGTGTACATAAATCTGCTTGTAGCCAATGCTGTGAGCCAACAGCCATGTTGGGAATTAGTCTGAAAACAAATCAGCAAATCATGTCTGACTGAAGCCATTCTCAGTCGTGGCTCCTTAATTATTTACTACCTTCTGTGAAGTTCCATACAATTAAAAATAGCCCATTTGTGGACCACTTATCTGCTTAGGATCAAGCACTTGGGCAGGGCGGGGCTGGGGGGAGTGAGAGAGCACGGGAGAGAGCACGCACGCAAGAGAGTAACCGTGTGCACATAAAGTGGGATGTAATCCAGTCCCTGAACTCATCTACACTTACAAAAACTATAATACAGTGGCATTCTTTAAGCATTTATTAAATGGAAAAAGGTACAAGCCACTACCCAAACCAAAACAAAACAAAAACAGAAAAACCGAGTTTCAAGGGATTGGAGAAGGGAACATAAACTAACCCAATCAAGCGTTCTACTTACAAAGAGAGGTTTGAGTGGAAACTTTATAGCCTTGGCAAGCATCTTGCCCATTAAACAGGGGATGCCTATTATCTCATTAGGAGTGTTTTCCAAAGTTAGAAATGATAAGTTGTTCTCTCCCCAGCCCAGAACTGATACTAAGCATCTGCAACAAAGATACTTTTCCTTATGACAAAATCCTAGGCACAATATTTACATTTGTTTTGACTGCTTAGATCTAATTTGCCTTTCTGGCACAGAAAGAACATCCAAACAGCCTCGTCTCAAGCCCAGCATGTTTTAAATGCAAACTCCTCGTTCCCACCTTCTCACCCACCCTCCACAACAGCGACCTGCCCCCGCCCCCCATGTCTGCTACGCCTCTTTTCTTCCTTTCAGCCAACACAGAATCGCTGCCTGTCTACTGTGTGTCAGGCACAGGACCTGGTGTCCTTCTTGAGGAGCTTATAGATGAGTCGAAGAGACATATTTAAATAGGTAATTGCAGTCACTGATGATTTATCCCTTGGCTTAAATCACTTAGTTTCTTGTTACTTCCCTTTCCTTCTGTTTTCTGCTTTCATCCATCTATTTACATCTTGAGACCTCACATAAATATTTCTGTGGTAGTTTTCTTATGGGTACCTCAATCTGCTGTCTCTCTTGGTCTAGTCTCCTTAAAATTTCTCTTAGGCTAGTCTTTCAAACACATTGCTTTCATTTAATTCTTCTCAGGAATACACAAGAACAACTGACACCCCCCTACAGTAGACCTAAAGTTCTCTGGCTTCTCATACCCCTTGCCATGTCCCTTCAGTGCCAGCCTGGTTTGTTTCCCATAGTCTCTCCTCTTCTACTTGGCTGTTTCCTTGCTGTCTTTTAGATCTATTCTTTTTTTTTTTGTTTATGTGTTTACAATTGTGTGGGTTCCTAACCTTCCAATCTTTTCAAATTCTACAACACCCAGACCAAACTCCATTATGCTTTTCCAAATTACACTAGCCCGTCACCTTAAACTTTTCCACAAGAAAAGATTTGCTGATTTGACTGACTAAATAAAAATGGATTTATGAGAAAACGCAGTCACGGTGAGAATAACAACTCTGGGGAATCAAAACTCCAGAACTCAGAGCTGCAAACATGTTGAACCCTTTCTGATAAATCCATTCGGGGTTTAGAGCAGGGGTCATTATTTAGCCTTGTTGCAACTAACTACTCAACTGCCCTGTTGCAGTGTGAAGGCAGACACAGATCACATGTAAACGACCAGGTATAACTGTATTAAAAAAATTATTTACAGAAACAGGTAGAGGGCAGAATTTGACTAGGGCCAAATAAGGTAGTTTGCTGACCTTGTTCTAGAGGAAGAAGAGTGAGTACAGGTGAGGATATTCTCTCGGTTGGCAAAGGACAACCAGAAGCCGCTTAGATGAGCCTCTTATCTTCCCTGGGTAGCTCAATGTGTTCCTTTAAGACAACATGTACCCTAGGATAGATCCCCAGCCAAGTTATCGCCATGGGAATCTGGGCTGTGACCATCTGTTATTGCTATTTTGGTCAATGAGGAAACGATAATGAAATCTACTTCTTTGTCCTTGTTGGAGATATGGTGAGGAGAGAGTCCATTGTCTCATTCTCCTACTGCCCTCCAGACAGGCAGGAGGCTCGCTCCTTAGGATCTCAGGGCACAGAACCAAATCTCACCCACACTTCTATGTGCCAGGCACAGCTCTCTCATTTAATTCTTACAGCAACCCTATAATGCAGAAGTACTTATCATCATACCTATTATTCAGATAGGAGAAATAGATGAAGTCTTAGTCAACACTAGCCACTGATCCACCAAAGAAATGGTCTAGGTGTGTTTTGGGAATGAGACCCCCTCTGCCAAGAGTTCTTCTTTCAACTTGAATGTGAGAAATTAATGAGAATAGCGTATTACCTCTAGTCTTTATAATGGCCCTTCAAAGGAGGTATATTTTTTTCACTTTATTCATGGAAAAAGTGGGCTCTAGGGGTTGAGAATTTTATCCAACTTTGCTCATTTAGAAAAGTCAGGGTCAGGATTCGAACCTAAGCCAGTCTGGCTCCATAAGCTTTCAGCCCATTCTACCTCTTTAATAACTCTGACCTAAACACATAAAGCTTAATGTACTTCAAAAGCCCTCAAATGCTTGCTCCATGTGAAGCAAGGAATCAGGTCAGCTTCATGGGGTCTAGCACGCCCAAGGAGGGTCTCAGAGGACAGGGGGCAAACCAGCGCCTGTGGCTGGAGACCTGGTCCCAAGCGAAAGCCCCAGAAGCAGGCGTGGCCCCTCGTCCTTCACCACAAACCCAGGTCTCTGGCTGCGCCTCCTCCTCCAAACTGTGGAAGTGGCTTTTTATGGTGGTGATGCTTCCTTCACGCACTGTGGTGGTGCCCAGGCAGAGGGAGGCATGTTCTTACCAGCCTGTCATATTAAAGTCCCTGTAGAGCATCTTCTTTCCAAGTTCCTTTCTCTGTACTCTCCTTGGAAACTCCAAATGTGTGAACTCATTTCCCAGCAAGTGAGGCTGCATGAATGCCTAATAGCAAAGAAGAAAAAAAAAAAAAAGGAAAGAAAGAAAACCACATACATATTTAGAGGAAAAAAATAAGACTCAAGGATGTTTTGCAAATCGAGACAGGCCATATTTCAAAATCAAGAAAATTGTCTTGTATTTTAAGGGAAGTAAATAGATTTCAGAATCTAAACAGTAATAGAAGATGAGCAAATAAAATCATGAACTTATAAAGGGATGCAACTTTTTCACTGGATGTGATACATTAATTGTAATCACATGTAGAGCTAAAGGCATAATGGAAAGAGGCTGAGCCTCTCCGAGGGCTCACTTTTTAATTTAAATGCAAGATGGTTTCACTTTTCTGAACGGCATGCTGGTGAGACAGAGCTGAGAAGCTTACCCTCTTCCCTCCTTGGCATTCTCTGCTCTCATCTCACACCCCAGCTATCGTAGCCTCGCCCTTGAAACCCAAATGTGGGTGTCCACGCAAACACAATGGCCTGAGATCTCGGGCTGGGGCTGGATACACCAGACAGGAACTTTCTGTTGGACTCCCTCCCGTTTTCTCTGCAGTCATCTGATCGTGTCACTGGAAGACTATTCTGGAGCAGATGGCTTCTCCCCCTCCCCCAAATCTCTGTTCACACTACAAAAGTCTTGAGCAAACAGCCACTTAGGGAATTGCTTTGAAACAACAAACAGTCTCATTGTCACATTCAAAATTCAAATCTCGCTATCCAAGAGATGCAAGGCTCACGTATTAACTTCCCCGCCCAGAGGCCGCACACCGTAAGCACGCCTGCACCAGAGCTTCCCCCCGGCAAGCCGCCCGCCTGCGTCTGAGCAGTGTGGTGGAATGGATCGTCTCTCTTTCCTGGCAGGGAAAACGGTGGGCAGAGCAAGTCACGGCCTGGCACTGTAGGAAAGCAAGGGATCCCTGCCACAGGACAGATGGCCATGGCCTCAGTTTCCTGGGGGCGGGCATCTCCAACAGCCTCTTTCCCGGGACCCGATTCCGGCAGATCTCCCTCTGACGCTCATGTAGGCCTGGAGGTATCAGTTAGACGTTAGTCATCGAAGCTAAGTTTGTCAGGAACCCAAGGCAGCAAGCTGAGTTGTCACCAGGCTGGTCATATTTGGGCAGCTGTAGAACTCTGAGCCAGTCATTCTGGGCAGGCTTGGGGACAGGACAGGATGGGATGAGTGAGGACGGCATGACTGAGGGTGAGAAGGGGACTTGTGCTTCACATTCGCTGTAGCCCCATAGTCCCAGGTCTCGTGGAAATTTTGGATTATGCTGAGGGGCTCTGAAGCCCCTATGGGGCTTAGGTTGCTGAGAGATGTCAAGGAAACTTAAATACCAGTTTACAGAGAGGGTCCCCTGGGAAAGAAGAAAAGGAACTAATACTTAATAGGGCAGGTCAGCGGTATAGGCTTTGGGTGAGATGGACTTGGGTCTGAATCCAAGCTCTGCATTACGAGCTGTGTGATTTTAGCAGGTTATTTAATTTCTTAGGCTTCAGTTTATCTGTAAAATGAGACTGATTATTTATCTCATACCACTTTTTTTCATGATGAAATAAAATTTTTATAATGCACCTATCTTGGTTGTCTCTATGTATATATATAAAAAATGATTGTGTCCTTCTAATGATCGTTGAGTCCTACTACATCCTGAAAACTACACTTGGTACTTTGTGAGCTCTCATTTCACCTTCCCAACAACCTTATGGACAAAATTGGCTATATCATTTGTGGGGTGCAGTGCAGAATGAAAATATAGAATCTCTGTTCAAAATTAAGAATTTCAAGATGGAGATATAGCAGATCACTCAACCAAGCCCAGGGCCCTGTACAACTGCACAAGTCATAGGCCCATGAAGCCAGTTGTGCCTGTGAGGCAGATACTATTCTCTTTCTTCTTTATTTTGGTCCCCCCATGAAAACAAAAGAACAGAGGCATAAACAGTCAATGAACAGCAGCATCTGTTATGTGCCCTTTATGATCTTGCCGAGTGCTGAGACTGTATCAGCATGGAGTTTCTGTCTACCCCTCACTTAACAGTGTTGGTAGGTGGGCTTTTGGGGAGGTGTTGAGGTCCTGAGGGTGGAGCCCTCATGGATTGATTAGTGCCGCTCTAGAAAGGGCTCACGAGAATAGGTTCGTTCTCTCTTGCCCTTCCGTCTTTCGCCATGTGAGGAAGCAGCAAGAAAGCCCTCACCAAATGCTGGCATCTTGATCTTAGACTTCCTAGACCCCAGAGCTGTGAGAAATAAATTGTTGTTCTTTATAAATTACTCAGGCAGCATTGTTATAGCAGCACAAAAGGAACTAAGACAGCATGTGTATGTGTATGTGTATGTACATGTATATGTGTATATATATGTGTGTGTGTGTGTAAATGTAGACACACACATATATTATTAACAAACATATTCCACAAATATGGTAACTTGACATTTGAAGAAATAGCGGAAGTAGGCCCTTAGAAACTAAGAAGAATCCCCCCACCCCTTTTCCCCTGAAGCAGGCCATAAAACCTAGCTGACTTTCCTCTGAAAATAGGTTATAAGACCTCATTTCAGAAGGATCCTGCCCTATGCCCAGAAAAAAGGAATGTCACACAAGGATGCCAAGAAGAATCTGAACAAACAGGCCCCACTCCGTGGTTTATTGCCTTAAATCATACCCTTGTGTCTTCCAATCAAACTTCTGCAGAGCTGTCCATAAAAATAGTTTTCCCTGTTTGTTTGGGTCTCCATTTCTAAAGGCTCCTGTGTTGCATAAGACTTAAACTAAATAAATTTGTCTTCCTCTCGTTAATCTGTCTTTTGTTATAGGGGCATCAGCCATGAACGCAGTGATGGGTAAGAACCCTCTTCTCCCCTATCGGGGTAAACATGTGCTTTGCCTCCCCCAGGAGATGAGTGGGGCCTCTGATGGTGCTTGTTTGCTTGAATACATTTGCCTGGGCTGTTATCAGAAGATCTGCAGCTTAGCTGGGAACACCTCAGCTACTTTGATATCTGTGGGGGCCACCTTATTCTCCCGCTAAGGACAGGCACGTTCAAAGGCCCTGTGTCACTTCTGACAGGTACAACCCCTTCTTCACACACACAGCCTTTCACAATCTCCATCAACTGCTTGCTTTCTCCCAAGATAACAACCACATACTGCATATTTCAGCAAATTTAAGATGCCATTTATTAGATGCACCATTATTTTACTACCTCTAAAAGAAAAGCAGCCGATTAAAATATGTACAATGTTTTCCTACCACTTCAATTTTTTAATTTAATTATTCTTTTTGAAAGAGCTCCTTTAGACTTGGACACATTTTTATTATCTATCACTATTGGGTACACTTAAGGGATATATAAGTGAGGCATATTGGCTAAAGTTTTCCAAAACTTTCACATGTGAAATCCAAGTGCTCTCGTCACTTTTCAACTCTGAATCATGAACGCGCACGATTCTCCACACAGTGGTGTCCTGTGTTTCATGAGCACTGGTGACGCTGCATTTTTTAAATAATCCGTAACAGAACTACAAGCCTCAAAGCCAAGGGCACAGAAGTTCTTAAGCTGGCTTTGCCATTATCTAGAGCCAGCTTATTTCTGACTCCCATTTTGGGAATGTGGCTGAACAAGTGTGATTCACACCTTCCCAGTCCCCTCCATAAAACTGACTGGATCCAGAAGGCTTAACTAGTGCTTCATTTTTTTTTTTTTTTTTGAGACAGAGTCTCACTTTGTTGCCTAGGCTAGAGTGAGTGCTGTGGCGTCAGCCTAGCTCACAGCAACCTCAATCTCCGGGGCTCAGCGATCCTACTGCCTCAGTCTCCCAAGTAGCTGGGACTACAGGCATGCACCACCATGCCCGGCTAATTTTTTGTATATATATTTTTAGTTGGTCAATTAATTTATTTCTATTTTTGGTAGAGATGGGGTCTCACTCAGGCTGGTTTTGAACTCCTGACCTTGAGCAATCCACTTGCCTCGGCCTCCCAAAGTGCTAGGATTACAGGCATGAGCCACCACGGCCGGCCTAGTGCTTCATTTTTGTCTGCAGGATTTTCTTTCAAACTGCTGGACACCCACCCCGAAAGTCTGGTGTGACGGTGTTTAGGGACATGCTGTTCCAAAATTTGGCAGCTTGGCATCTGAGAAACAGCAGAAACAGGCCAGTCTCTCTCACCTTCCCTTTGTCCTTCCCCCCTGAAGCAGGTCATAAGATCCTCATTCCAGAGGTACCTTCCCGAGGAAAGGAACTCCTTTATCTCTGAAGACACAGGGACACCCAGAAGACTCTGCACAAATAGGCCTTGCTAAGTTCTCCCCCATTTATTCCCACTAGATCATACCTCCTTCGTCCAGTCATATTTTTCCAAGGGTGTCTACTCTTCCTCAAACCTAAACATAAAAATGTGTAGATTTTCCTATTTCTTTGGGTCTTCAACTTCAAGCAGAGGCTCCTGTGTCACATAAAACTTCTATTAAATAAATGTGTATGCTTTTCTCTTGTTAATCTGCCTTTGTTATGAGAGACTTTGTGATGGGCGAGGAAAAGAAATCTTTTCTGCCCTTTCAGGTGCCTGCTCTTCTGACCTTTGCATATGTCCAGATGACATGTCATGCCGTCATGCCTGCCACCTGACCGACAGACACGATCGATTGTAAAGTAGTCCAACTTCAGATATGTTAAAAGTAAAATGAAAAGTATCTCAGATCTGAAGAAATACTGCAATATTCACCACTCATTGAGACTGACGCCACACCCTTAGATTCCTCTCTCTTTAGGGTGACTCTTCTTCCCCTCTTGTTCACTGCCACAGCATGTGTGGCATGATTCATTACCTGTCACAACAGGCACACCATGTGTACTCGTGACATAATTTTACCACTTTCTCTTTTTTAAAGAAATCATCCACATCCGAACTGTCAGCCGCCCTGTTACCACCACTTTCAGTCCTCCCTGCTTTTGTACCTGTCAGACCCTATGGAGTTAACGTGTTAAAGTA